GCGCATGCCATGAATCAAGAGCATGGCACAAAAGCAAAAAATAAAAATGTTTATTACTCTTAATTTTGGTTTTATTTATCCTTGAAACAGAACACTTTCGGGGACCCTGCGGAAGTACATCTGGTTATATATTAACTGTTAACGCCTATTATTCATATATACTTTAAATAACTTTACTCTCAATTCAGAAGAACTGGTAAACCAACAAGCTAGTCCTATTGCTTCTGGAGTTGGGTCAAGCAGACACAGAGTCAACGCAAGAAAAAACCCAACAACATTGTTTGTTTTAGGAATTAGGCGCAAAGCTACTCCAGGGATATCTGAGCTAGCCGTCCCTAATTTTGAAGTGATAGACTAGAGTGAAGGCAGCTAGTCAACACTACTACCGTCTTGGAAAAGTGAGACTGACAGTCTCATTACAACGTTCTCACGGCTGAAAAGGCGAGCATGTTCGGTGACAGGATTCGAACTCGCGACCCGCAGATTGTGAGTCAAACGCCCTAGTCACCAGGCCAAGCTAGGCCTCAACAACATTAGTTATACTAAGACATTATGAGTGAAATAAAGAATAACAATATCTGGTCTTCCCAAACTTTACTGTTTACAGTTTCAACATAATATTTTTAACAGATATTGTTTTGTAGTTTAAACACCTAAGCTGATACTATGTATTTGATTATATATATCTCTAACTCCAGGTCGCTCAGTAACGCATAATGTTGCAAGACACTTTTAACTTCCTATTAGCAGTAATTGGTTAAAGCTGTCTGTAATGATGAAGGATCATTTTTCAACTGTGTTTTTTATATAAATAATAATTTATCCTAGTCACATCATTAACACATGAACTCAAGTAAGTGTGCTAGCTGCCAAAGGCCGGGTGCACTGTTCTCTCAAGGATTGGCGTTGTTTTTTTTAGCAATGCTGTTTTCTTATGACTAGTTTCGATAATAATGCCACCCATAGTATTTGCCAGTTGGGACTTTTCTTCTAAAACTACTTACCCTTACTCTTGATTTTAATTCACATGATTAATTTTCTGATGAAATGGGAAATATTTCAAACTGATTAATACAAGGTTTAAGGTTGTGTCGTACTTCTATGATTCTTTGCTGGACTACATTTCCAATCTATCAGAATTCCTCCCAGGCGAGAAAGAACGTCAACACCATTCCTGAGGTAATACCTTTGGGAATTTCATTTCTTTCGTTTAATACAACCTAAATTATGTTTTGCGCCTGGGAATATATATATGGTTTGTCATAGAGGAGATGTTCAAGCTCTTCTTTTACTTCCACATCCAATAACATCTCAAACATCACGTGCTGTATGTTTCTAGTAATAACAACCAACAAGCTGTGATCCTCTACTAAGTATTCCCGCGGTGACGTAGAGAGTCCAGAGGAATGTATAGATAACGTCTTTATTATCTGTATCGTCAGCTTTATATAATTTTGTTGTCATGAGAAATGGAAAAAAGAATGTTTAGTTACTTACTGGATGGAAAACTTCTTTAAATATATGATACACGATGCCTTTTTTCCTTTTTATCTACTTGAACTAAAGTTGAATAAAACTTTCAACTGCCTCCTTTATCAGGCAGAAGAAAAGCTGTGTAGACCCTTTAATTTTGTTCTTTATTGAACAGAATGAAAATTTAGTAAGACCTCTTATCTGGTTCTTTGTGAGACAAAATAAAAGTTGCTAACTTTTTAATCCGGCTCATTGTGAGAAAAAATATAAGTTATATAAAATCGTTAAATCTGGTTCTTTGTGAGATGAAACGAATGTTTTGTAGAACCTTTTAATTTGCTGGTTTATGAGGTAAGATGAAAGTTATGTAAAATTTTTAATTTGCTGGATTATTTAAAACATTCTTAATCTGCTGATTTGTGAGACAAAACGAGAGCTATGTAAAACTTTTTAATCTGTTGGGTTATGAGATAAAACGAAGATTATGTAAAACCTAATCTGCTGGGTTGTGAGATAAAACGAAAGCTATGTAAAACTTTTAGTCTGCTGATTTATGAGATAAAACGAAGATTATGTAAAATCTTTTAACCTGCTGATTTATGATATAAAATGCAAGTTATGTCTTAATGCTATTACAATTCAGATATGTTTTAAGCTGGCATTATTTCTGAGTTATGTAATTTCTTTCTTTTTTTGTATTTTCTTTACTGTGCTGTAAGAGACGACTTTTTAAAATTTTGTGTTTTACATGGATCTTCAACTAAACATATATTTCCCTGTTTAAATGTGTGGTTGACATCCGAAAATTATTATACGAGATTTTTGTGGCTGGCTAAATAAAAATAATTTTGCTGTTAAGTAAGAAAACAACAGTAAATTGTAAAAATTTTTAATATATCCTTAATAGGATGTAAACTCAAACAATAGCAATCTAAAGTTTTTAATAACATCCTGACTAGAATAGAAAGTCACTATATAGTAATTTAGTTTTTAATGTTATCCTGACTAGAATAGAAAGTCACTTTACAGTAATATAGTTTTTAATAACATCCCGACTAGAATGGAAAGTCAGTAGATAGTAATCTAAAGTTTTTAATAGCATCCTTACTAGAACAAAAAGTCTAATCTATAGTAATCTAAGGTTTTTAATAGCATCCTTACTAGAACAAAAAGTCAATCTATAGTAATCTAAGGTTTTTAATAGCATCCTTACTAGAACAAAAAGTCAATCTATAATAATCTAAGGTTTTTAATAGCATCCTTACTAGAATGGAAAGTGATTCTACAGTAATTTATATTCTAAAATTCTTGAGACAAAGAATAACCATCTTTTAAAATCTACTTGGATGGTGAATATCTCAAGCATATATAATAAAACGAGTCATGTGATGAGTAATTAAACGTGCCAGAAGTGAAAGAACGTTAATTTCATTCAAAAACAAATCTAGAAAAATAAACTTTTTTTTTCACTTGAATTCAAGAACTAGTTGAACTTCTTAATAAAAAAAACGTTAATTTCATCAAAACTTAACTGCGATAAATTAGGCATCTTTAGTTAATGTGAATTCAACAAATAACTATTTGAATCAATATCTAAATAATTTTTCGCTTGTTATTAAAATTCGTTTAAACACAAAGTTATTAGTAGGTGAAGCATGCGACCTTACAAGTTGTTTTCTGTTCATTACGAAACCAAAACTTTTTATGTTTGTGCACCAATTACAAGCAATACGTAACACATACTGTTACTAAATAGACGACAGAGTTTCAGTTAGTTAAATCCTCGTTTGGTTCAAAACGGATATAAGTAAACAACTTTTAAAAGCGAAAGAGGCTGATTTTCTTAGATTTTTTTCTTAACAAAACCACATTGACTGTCTGCATTGAATTGAACCTCGGATTTTAGTGTTGTAAGCCCTTAAACTTCCCACTGTCCTACCTGATGACAAAGAGGCTGATACAGTCGGCTACTTTTAACACTTATATAAGTATAAGGTTAGATGTTTGCAATTTTGAAAGTTAAGGAATTTTTCTGGCAAAAAATGAGGTCATTCAAGATATTACAGATAATTAACTGAAAGTCAACATTTTATAACCGTGAAAGTACGAAACTTGGTAAACATTTACATTCTATGCCTCAGATCTTGCTGTTGTTTTAAAATACAGCTACACAATGGGCTATGTGTGCTTTGGTCACCACAGCTCCGAATCTTAGGGTTGATCACACTGTAGAATATTTCTGTTATTCCACAGTGATGACCAACTCTAAGACCAGACAAATAACTCAGTTCAGGGATTGTACTTAGAATCAGTACGTGTATAAAATATGAAATCAAAATGGAGGATCGAGCGTCATATTTAAGCAACAATGAAGCAGTTTATTCAGCTAGCAATTAAAATAACTGAAAATACAACAGCGAACGAAATACAATAAAAACAAAATAAAACTGTTATTAATACCTCAAATGAAGAGTAAAGTTTAAAATAAAAAATCTCAGTAAACTCAAAATCAAATAGATGGACACAAATTCTAATAGCAAAAAAAAAAGGCATTCAAAGCAGCAAAACAAACAAATAAACAAACACTGGCTTTTAGAAATTGATCATAAATGTTATGGAATTATCGAGATTGAATCTCATACCATTAATTTATTGCTTGAAGATGTTCTATTTGTCGTACACAGCTTCAGGGAATGTTCATAAGTTATGACCACCCAAAAATAAAAAAAAAATTAAACACGTACACTAATAATTACAGATATGAATTTATCTGCAAATCCTTGAGCGAAAATTGTGTCCACAAAGGATGAGCCGAAACATACCGAAAGACTCTAAACTTAATCTATAATATATGAAAAACATTCATCTTCTGTATTCATCTAAAGCTTACAGGTAATTAGAAACTTTCTGTAGTAGTTTTATTCGTTTTTTTTTTACGAATAATACGTACCAAAAATACCTTTATTAATGTCCGTAGAGGATGAGTACAGTTGAATTCTTTCACTTGTTATTAAATACGTGAAACAACTTTTTTATACATCACACAAACAGTTATACTATATATTCAATTACAGGAGAGTTATGTATTATTTTACATTATACGTAGTTGTTATTTTTGTAATAATTATTATTTCACTAAATACATACATTGTAGTTTCACTTTATCGTTCACCACTTGTTAATTATTTATCGCTTCAGAAGCGATCATTAATATTATATCATTCGACTATTGGTTTCATATTTTTAACATTATGTAAAAGTTTCAGAATATCGTCAACAGAGAAAGGTATAACTGTAAACAATATGTGGGTGGCGAAACCAACACAGAGCTGTGGTAACCAATCTATATCCAGAGTTGCTGCGTAGCGTATCCTATCACTGCAAGCGCTTCAGACGTCACTAAACGAGCAAGCACATAATTCCTACGAGTAAACTTTTATCAGGCGTCTCAGAAGCAAATAAATATCTATTTAAGGAAGAAAATGCCTTGATAGAGAGCTTCAGTTAGGCAACCTACTTCTTGAAAACATGAAACATGGAAGCAACGCTGTTTTGATATATACTGTTAAAGAGTATAAAGTTAACAAACACAGAATGCTATCCATTTCAAAAATCACGTGTTAAGTTAGTAATGTAACAGTTTACTTCAAGAAGCTATTTTATAGATTGTTTCATAATATGAATAGTTGAATCAACTTTACTTGTTTTTATCGTACAGCATGACTATTAACACTACACAAACAGTGAGTAGCACGTATTTCGTGAGCCCTGTTACAATCCAAGACCCTATGTTTATCTCATGGGATGACGCAACGTGGATCATGACAAGCTCTTTCATCATCTTTACAATGCAGTCTGGTAAGTAAAGTACTTCTTTTCATTTCTTAAACAATGTTTCATTACAAAAGTCATGTTCAGTAAGAAACAATTATCTACTTCATAAATACTAACTGAGGATATTCGTTAAGGAAGCACAAACTGTATGAAGAACAATGTCTGATAATGTTTCCCTTAAACATCTAATAACCTCATTAGACTCCAATTACTTGCCCTGTTTTGTGAAAGGTAATAACTGATTCGTTTAACTGACTAAGTACTTATGTCTTTAAATTTAAAATCAAAAGTTTACAAAAAGTGGAAATGTGCCCATTATTAGGGTCTTTTTTTATTTCCAATTTCGGGCAAATATCCGAAAACACAACAGCTTATGTACACTTTGGATAATTTACAGTTACTACAAAAAATTACAGTAATCAAGCCAACCAAGTCGAGATGATAGATGCTTACCCACAAACACATACACAATAGAAGATCTGTATAGTAAGATGATAATCGTGATTAAATTGTTTTGTGAATTCATAATAAAATCAATCTTTACTAACAGACATTACTAAACATCTCATAATATTGATAGTTAAAAGGCAGACTAGAGCATCATTACACTTACTAATATACCTGAAAGGACACTAAAATCGTTTTAGAGTACAAAATCTGGATCATCCTTAAGCCAGTTTAATCGAATGTTAGTTTGTTTGTTCTCATGCATTATAAGTCCCCAGACATAACACTGAGGAACTTAATAGAAGAAAAGGCTTAATCTTTTAGCTGTGTGTGTGTGTAACTAATGTGAAAAATTCTTCCATAAAAAAGAAAAGCTAATGAGGTATAATCAAGTATCACTAAGCACGATAGTGTTTAGTATGTAGGGATGGCCCAATTCAATCTATTACAAATAACTGTCCGGCATGGCCAGGTGGATAAAGCCCTCGACTCGCAATCTGAGGGTCGCGGGTTCGAATCCCCGTCCCACCAAACA